AAATAAAAAGTCCCCAAAATGCCTTATTTTTATTTTGAAATTAAAACACAAAATATTCACTTGGCAGCATGGTTTAGGATATAATCTTGCATTTTAAGGCATTTCTGGGAATTTTTGTTTTTTTAAAAAAAAATCTTCAATAAAATTAGAGAAAACAGCACACAATAAAAAAGGATGAAGGGGAAGGACGTGGACACGTAAGGTTTATTATTACATGTTTTTAATTAAGAATTGACAAACAAACAACAAATAACTTTTTTGGTCTGGAGAGCAAAGGAACAGGCGTGTCCATTTGTGCACGATAGTTAATAACAAATCTTTAAATTTAAATTACAATGTCTATATATATATATATATATATATATATATATATTAAAGTGATTATAAAAAACGAATTTCTTATAAAAACATGTCTAACATAACCACAACCTTAAAAAACAGAAATTACCCGGAATAGAATGTTATATTTGTCCACATAGGGGCGCCAGATGCCCACTTGAATAACCTAGTTTTTCTCTCAAAACGGATAAAACCACAGAATTTACCTCACAAGGCAAACCATTAAAGATGAGTAAGGTTTAACCTAATTAGTAAGGTACAAGACCTATACAGTGTATAGTCACTGCGCGGCACCAATTTACAACCAACTCCGTAACTACGCCGGAGATCCCTTTCAAAATAAAAGCCCAGTTTAATCAAAACGAAAAAATAAAATAATAAACTCAAATCCGGGATGAAAACACATAACAACAGAGCGATTATTCACCAAACATAAAGACATAAATTGTCTTATTAATTCATTGTGAATTCCCTAGCTTTTCATATGAATACCGGTCCTGCAAGAAAGTTGGCTGAGGTGGCATTTGATTGGCTAAACGCTGTGCGTGCATGGCACGTGTCCGGGGCCGCATCTGATTGGCCAAATCACAGCACGCTGACTGCGACAGCTTTTACAATGTTTTTTTTTTTTTTTTATCACGCACGTTCGCATCTAGACGACGATGAAAAAATACTGTAAACCTTGCAGATCTAATATGTTTATATTTATAATAATTATAATATAAAGTTTTTTTTATTAAATTGCACCAACATACAGTATGGAAGAAGGGGTAATCTAACGCAACACATATTTAAAGCTTACTTTGGTCAAAACCGAAATATATCTCGTGGAGATAAATGCATTTGAACCTCTCACATAGGTCCAGGAGATCCAGGAAGCACAATCTGAACTGACCACAAGAACCTGCCTATGTGGGTGATGATTCTTTCTCAGGAATCTCTTGTGTGGTCCCAGGTACTCCACTGACCTCATCCTGTTTACCACAACATGTTGTGGTTCACGCAACAGCGGTTGTGGTGGCCCACCATCTCCCCAGACAGTCTCCCTAGACTTTGTGGCAGCCTGTGACGTCTGAGCACATCCTCGCCCCAGCCTCCAGCAGGACTCCTCTATCCCTTAAAACAGAGAATAAACAGGCAAATAAGTTACATACAGAGAATCTACTGGTTCCGGTTCCTGTACTACGATACTATCAGTTTGCGAGGTGGAGCCCTGAACCGATGTTTTGCAACTGTTCGTAACTCAGAAAGCACATCCTTATCTGTCCTCCAGCTTCATCACAACAACAATGGTTAGGGATGCAATCATGCCAGTAGTTTTCCACAGAGACTAGTACGTTGATTCTATCAGGAAACAATATTGAGCCGGAAGCTGGGACCAAGGCTCAGAGGTTATTGTATTGTATAGGGACTTTTGAAGAATCTTTGACCTCAGGTCAGACAGTCATTCTCTTTCCAGTGCCGTCAGTGCGTGTTCTTTTATCACACACCGTTACACAGTTAACTCTCTATCTATCTATCTATCTGTGTATCTGTCTGTCTGTCTGTCTGTCTATCTATCTATGTATCTATCTATCTGTCTATCTGTCTGTCTG